GGACGTGGACGTGGACGTGGACGTGGACGTAGACATGGACATGGACGTGGACGTGGACATGGACGTGGACGTGGACGTGGACGTGGACGTGACGTGGACGTAGACGTGGACATGGTCGTGGACGTGGACGTGGACGTGGACGTGGTCCTGGACGTGGACGTGGTCGTGGACGTGGACGCGGTCGTGGACCTGGACGTGGACGTGGTCGTGGACGTGGACGCGGTCGTGGACGTGGACGCGGACGTGGACGTGGACGCGGACCTGGACCTGGACCTGGACCTGGACCTGGACCTGGACGTGGTCGTGGACGTGGACTGGACGTGGTCGTGGACGTGGACGTGTCGTGGACGTAGACGTGGACGTGGACGTGGACGTGGAATGGCGTGGACCTGGACTTGGTCGTGGTCATGAACGTGGACGTGGTCGTGGACGTGGACGTGGTCGTGGACGTGGTCGTGGACGTGGACGTGGACGTGGACGTGGACGTGGACGTGGACGTGGTCATGGACGTGGACGTGGACGTGGACGTGGACGTGGACGTGGACGTGGTCTTGGACGTGGACGAGGACTTGGACTTGGACCTGGACATGGACATGGACGTGGACGTGGTCGTGGACGTGGAGGTGGACTTGGACGTGGACGTGGTCATGGACGTGGACGTGGACGTGGACGTGGAAGTGGACGTGGACCTGGACGTGGACGTGGACGTGGTCGTGGACGTGGACGTAGACGTGGACGTGGACATGGTCGTGGACGTGGACGTGGACGTGGACGTGGTCGTGGACGTGGACGTGGACGTGGACGTGGACGTGGTCGTGGACGTGGACGTGGACGTGGTCATGGACGTGGACGTGGACGTGGTCGTGGACGTGGACGTGTACGTGGACGTGGACCTAGACCTGGACGTGGACGTGGACGTGGTCGTGGACGTGGAGGTGGACTTGGACGTGGACGTGGTCGTGGACGTGGACGTGGACGTGGACGTGGAAGTGGACGTGGACCTGGACGTGGACGTGGACGTGGTCGTGGACATGGACAAGGACGTGGACGTGGACATGGTCGTGGATGTGGACGTGGACATGGACGAGGTCGTGGACGTGGATGTGGACGTGGACGTGGTCGTGGACGTGGACGTGGACGTGGTCGTGGACGTGGTCGTGGACGTGGACGGTGACGTGGACGTGGACGTGGTCGTGGACGTGGACGTGGACGTGGTCGTCGACGTGGACGTGGACGTGGTCGTGGACGTGGTCGTGGACGTGGAAGCGGACGTGGACGTGGACGTGGACGTGGAGGTGGACGTGGACGTGGAGGTGGAGGTGGACGTGGACGTGGTCGTGGACGCGGACGCGGACGTGGACGTGGACGCGGACGTGGACGTGGACGTAGACGCGGACGTGGACGTGGACGTGGACGTGGTCGTGGACGTGGTCGTGGACGTGGACGTGGACGTGGTCATGGACGTGGACGTGGTCCTTGACGTGGACGTGGATGGACGTGGACGTGGACGTGGACGTGGACGTGGACGTGGTCGTGGACGTGGACGTGGTCGTGGACGTGGACGTGGACGTGGACGTGGACTTGGACCTGGACGTGGACGTGGACCTGGACGTGGACGTGGACGTGGACGTGGACGTGGTCGTGGACGTGGACGTGGACGTGGTCGTGGACGTGGACGTGGACGTGGACGTGGACGTGGTCGTGAACGTGGACGTGGACGTGGTCGTGGACGTGGACGTGGACGTGGTCGTGGACGTGGACGTGGACGTGGACGTGGACGTGGAAGTGGGCGTGGTCGTGGACGTGGACGTGGACTTTGACGTGGTCGTGGAAGTGGACGTGGACCTGGACGTGGACGTGGACGTGGAAGTGGACGTGGACGTGGACGTGGACGTGGTCGTGGACGTGGACGTGGACGTGGACGTGGACATGGTCGTGGACGTGGACGTGGACGTGGACGAGGTCGTGGACGTGGACGTGGACGTGGACGTGGTCGTGGACGTGGACGTGGACGTAGACGTGGACTTGGACGTGGACGTGGACTTGGACGTGGACGTGGACTTGGACTTGGACGTGGACGTGGACCTGGACCTGGACCTGGAGGTGGAAGTGGACTTGGACGTGGACGTGGACTTGGACGTGGACGTGGACGTGGACGTGGACGTGGTCGTGGACGTGGACGTGGACGTGGACCTGGACGTGGACGTGGACGTGGACGTGGAAGTAGACGCGGACGTGGTCATGGACGTGGACGTGGTCGTGGACGTGGACGTGGTCGTGGACGTGGTCGTGGACGTGGACGTGGATGGACATGGACGTGGATGGACTTTGACGTGGACATGGACGTGGACGTGGTCGTGGACGTGGACGTGGTCGTGGACGTCGACGTGGACGTGGACGTGGACCTGGACGTGGACGTGGACCTGGACGTGGACGTGGACGTGGACGTGGACATAGACGTGGACGTGGTCGTGGACGTGGACGTGGACGAGGTCGTGGACGTGGACGTGGACGTGGACGTGGTCGTGGACGTGGACGTGGACGTGGACCTGGACGTGGACGTGGACTTGGACGTGGACGTGGACTTGGACTTGGACGTGGACGTGGACGTGGACGTGGTCATGGACGTCGACGTGGACGTGGACCTGGACCTGGACCTGGACGTAGAAGTGGACTTGGACGTGGACGTGGACGTGGACATGGTCGTGGACGTGGACGTGGACGTGGAGGTGGTCGTGGACGTGGAGGTGGACGTGGTCGTGGACGTGGACGTGGACGTGGACGTGGACGTGGACGTGGACGTGGAAGTGGACGTGGTCGTGGACGTGGAGGTGGACTTGGACGTGGACGTGGTCGTGGACGTGGACGTGGACGTAGACGTGGACGTGGACGTGGACGTGGAAGTGGACGTGGAGCTGGACGTGGACGTGGACGTGGTCGTGGACATGGACGTGGACGAGGACGTGGACATGGTCGTGGACGTGGACGTGGACGTAGACGTGGACGAGGTCGTGGACGTGGACGTAGACGTGGACGTGGACGTGGACGTGGTCGTGGACGTGGACGTAGACGTGGACCTCGACGTGGACGTGGACTTGGACGTGGACGTGGACTTTGACTTGGACGTGGACGTGGACGTGGACGTGGACGTGGTCATGGACGTAGACGTGGACGTGGACCTGGACCTGGACCTGGAGGTGGAAGTGGACTTGGACGTGGACGTGGACTTGGACGTGGACGTAGACGTGGACGTGGACGTGGACGTGGTCGTGGACGTGGACGTGGACGTGGACCTGGACGTGGACGTGGACGTGGACGTGGACGTAGACGCGGACGTGGTCGTGGACGCGGACGTGGTCGTGGACGTGGACGTGGACGTGGTCGTGGACGTGGACGTGGTCGTGGACATGGACGTGGTCGTGGACGTGGACGTGGATGGACATGGACGTGGATGGACGTGGACGTGGATGTGGACGTGGTCGTGGACGTGGACGTGGTCGTGGACGTCGACGTGGACGTGGACGTGGACCTGGACGTGGACGTGGACGTGGACGTGGACATAGACGTGGACGAGGTCGTGGACGTGGACGTGGACGTGAACGAGGTCGTGGACGTGGGCGTGGACGTGGACGTGGACGTGGACGTGGACGTTGACCTGGACGTGGACGTGGACTTGGACGTGGACGTGGACTTGGACTTGGACGTGGACGTGGACGTGGACGTGGACGTGGACGTGGACCTGGACCTGGACCTGGACGTGGAAGTGGACTTGGACGTGGACGTGGACTTGGACGTGGACGTAGACGTAGACGTGGACGTGGACGTGATGGTGGACGTGGACGTGGACGTGGAGGACGTGGATGTGGATGTGGAGGACGTGGACGTGGACGTGGACGTGGACATGGACGTGGACGTGGTCATGGACGTGGACGTGGACGTGGACTTGGACGTGGACGTGGACGTGGTCGTGGACGTGGACGTGGACGTGGACGTGGACGTGGTGCGTGGACGTGGACGTGGACGTGGTCGTGGACGTGGTCGTGGACGTGGACGGTGACGTGGACGTGGACGTGGACGTGGTCGTGGACGTGGACGTGGACGTGGACGTGGTCGTGGACGTGGACGTGGTCGTGGATGTGGTCGTGGACGTGGAAGCGGACGTGGACGTGGACGTGGACGTGGACGTGGACGTGGACGTGGACGTGGACCTGGACGTGGACGTCGACTTGGACGTGGACGTGGACTTGGACTTGGACGTGGACGTGGACGTGGTCATGGAGGTGGACGTGGACGTGGACCTGGACCTGGACCTGGACGTGGAAGTGGACTTGGACGTGGACGTGGACTTGGACGTGGACGTAGACGTAGACGTGGACGTGGACGTGATGGTGGACGTGGACGTGGAGGACGTGGATGTGGATGTGGAGGACGTGGACGTGGACGTGGACGTGGACGTCGACATGGACGTGGACGTGGTCATGGACGTGGACGTGGACGTGGACTTGGACGTGGACGTGGACGTGGTCGTGGACGTGGACGTGGACGTGGACGTGGTCGTGGACGTGGACGTGGTCGTGGACGTGGACGTGGTCGTGGTCGTGGACGTGGTCGTGGACGTGGACGGTGACGTGGACGTGGACGTGGACGTGGACGTGGTCTTGGACGTGGACGTGGACGTGGACGTGGTCGTGGACGTGGACGTGGTCGTGGATGTGGTCGTGGACGTGGAAGCGGACGTGGACGTGGACGTGGACGTGGACGTGGACGTGGACGTGGACGTGGACCTGGACGTGGACGTGGACTTGGACGTGGACGTGGACTTGGACTTGGACGTGGACGTGGACGTGGACGTGGTCATGGACGTGGACGTGGACGTGGACCTGGACCTGGACCTGGACGTGGAACTGGACTTGGACGTGGACGTGGACTTGGACGTGGACATGGACGTTGACGTGGACGTTGACGTGGACGTGGACGTGGACGTGGACATGGACGTGGACATGGACGTGGACCTGGACGTGGACATGGACGTGGACGTGGACGTGGACATGGACGTGGACGTGGACGTGGACATGGACGTGGACGTGGACGTGGACGTGGACGTGGACGTGGACATGGACGTGGACGTGGACGTGGACGTGGACGTGGACGTGGACGTGGACATGGACGTGGACGTGGACGTGGACGTGGACGTGGACATGGACGTGGACATGGACGTGGACGTGGACGTGAACATGGACGTGGACATGGACGTGGACATGGACGTGGACGTGGACGTGGATGGGACATGGACGTGGACGTGGACGTTCACGTGGACGTGGACGTGGACGTGGACGTGGACGTGGACATGGACGTGGACGTGGACGTGGACGTGGACATGGACGTGGACGTGGACGTGGACGTGGACGTGGACGTGAACGTGGACGTGGACGTGGACATGGACGTGGACGTGGACGTGGACGTGGACGTGGACGTGGACGTGGACGTGGACATGGACGTGGACGTGGACGTGGACGTGGACGTGGACATGGACGTGGACATGGACGTGGACGTGGACGTGGACGTGGACGTGGACGTGGACGTGGACATGGACGTGGACGTTCACGTGGACGTGGACGTGGACGTGGACGTGGACGTGGACATGGACGTGGACGTGGACGTGGACGTGGTTGGACGTGGACGTGGACGTGGACGTGGACGTGGACCTGGACGTGGACGTGGACGTGGACGTTGACGTTGACGTGGACTTGGACGTGGACGTGGACATGGACGTGGACGTGGACATGGACGTGGACGTGGACGTGGACGTGGACATGGACGTGGACGTGGACGTGGACGTGGACGTGGACGTGGACGTGGACATGGACGTGGACGTGGACGTGGACGTGGACCTGGACGTGGACGTGGACGTGGACATGGACGTGGACGTGGACATGGACGCGGACGTGGACATGGACGTGGACGTGGACGTGAACATGGACGTGGACATGGACGGACGTGGACGTGGACGTGGACATGGACGTGGACGTGGACATGGACGTGGACGTGGACATGGACGTGGACGTGGACGTGAACATGGACGTGAACATGGACGTGGACATGGACGTGGACGTGGACATGGACGTGGACATGGACGTGGACGTGGACGTGGACGTGGACGTGGACGTGGACGTGGACATGGACGTGGACGTGGACGTGGACGTGGACGTGGACATGGACGTGGACGTGGACGTGGACGTGGACGTGGACATGGACGTGGACATGGACGTGGACGTGGACGTGGACGTGGACGTGGACATGGACGTGGACGTTCACGTGGACGTGGACGTGGACGTGGACGTGGACGTGGACATGGACGTGGACGTGGACGTGGACGTGGTTGGACGTGGACGTGGACGTGGACGTGGACCAGGACGTGGACGTGGACGTGGACGTTGACGTTGACGTGGACTTGGACGTGGACGTGGACATGGACGTGGACGTGGACGTGGACATGGACGTGGACGTGGACGTGGACGTGGACGTGGACATGGACGTGGACGTGGACGTCGACGTGGACCTGGACGTGGACGTGGACGTGGACGTGGACATGGACGTGGACGTGGACATGGACGCGGACGTGGACATGGACGTGGACGTGGACGTGAACATGGACGTGGACATGGACGTGGACATGGACGTGGACGTGGACGTGGACGTGGACGTGGACATGGACGTGGACGTGGACGTTCACGTGGACGTGGACGTGGACGTGGACGTGGACGTGGACGTGGACGTGGATGTGGACGTTGACGTGGACGTGAACGTGGACGTGAACATGGACGTGGACATGGACGTGGACCTGGACGTGGACGTGGACGTGGACGTAGACGTGGACGTGGACGTGGACTTGGACGTGGACGTGGACATGGACGTGGACATGGACGTGGACGTGGACATGGACGTTGACATGGACGTGGACGTGGACGTGGACGTGGACGTGGACCTGGACGTGGACCTGGTCGTGGACGTGGACGTGGACGTGGACGTGGACATGGACTTGGACGTGGACGTAACATGGACGTGGACGTGGACGTGGACGTGGACGTGGACGTGGATGTGGACTTGGACGTGGACTTGGACGTGGACATGGACGTGGACATGGACGTGGACTTGGACATGGACGAGGAGATGGACGTGGACGTGGAGGTGGACGTGGACGTGGACATGGACGTGGACGTGGACGTGGACATGGACGTGGACGTGGACGTGGACGTGGACGTGGACGTGGACATGGACGTGGACGTGGACATGGACGTGGACCTGGACGTGGACGTGGACGTGGACATGGACGTGGACGTGGACGTGGACGTGGACATGGACGTGGACATGGACGTGGACGTGGACGTGGACGTGGACGTGGACATGGACGTGGACGTGGACGTTCACGTGGACGTGGACGTGGACGTGGTCGTAGACGTGGACGTGGACGTGGACGTGGACATGGACGTGGACGTGGACGTGGACGTGGACGTTGACGTGGACATGGACGTGGACGTGGACATGGACGTGGACATGGACGTGGACATGGACGTGGACGTGGACGTGGACGTGGACATGGACGTGGACATGGACGTGGACGTGGACTTGGACGTGGACATGGACGTGGACGTGGACGTGGACGTGGACATGGACGTGGACATGGACGTGGACGTGGACGTGGACGTTGACGTGGAGGTGGACGTGGACGTGGACATGGACGAGGACGTGGACGTGGACGTGGACGTGGAAGTGGACGTGGACATGGACGTGGACGTGGACGTGGACGTGGACGTGGACCTGGACGTGGACGTTGACGTGGACGTGGACGTGGACGTTGACGTGGACGTGGTCGTGGACGTGGACGTGGACGTGGACGTGGACGTGGACATGGACGTGGACGTGGACGTGGACATGGACGTGGACGTGGACGTGGACGTGGACGTGGACGTGGACATGGACGTGGACGTGGACGTGGACGTGGACGTAGACGTGGACGTGGACGTGGACGTGGACATGGACGTGGACGTGGACGTGGACGTGGACGTGGACATGGACGTGGACGTGGACGTGGACGTGGATGTGGACGTGGACGTGGACATGGACGTGGACGTGGACATGGACGTGGACCTGGACGTGGACGTGGACATGGACGTGGACGTGGACGTGGACATGGACGTGGACATGGACGTGGACGTGGACGTGGACGTGGACGTGGACATGGACGTGGACGTGGACGTTCACGTGGACGTGGACGTGGACGTGGTCGTAGACGTGGACGTGGACGTGGACGTGGACATGGACGTGGACGTGGACGTGGACGTGGACGTTGACGTGGACATGGACGTGGACGTGGACATGGACGTGGACATGGACGTGGACATGGACGTGGACGTGGACGTGGACGTGGACATGGACGTGGACGTGGACGTGGACGTGGACTTGGACGTGGACATGGACGTGGACGTGGACGTGGACGTGGACATGGACGTGGACATGGACGTGGACGTAGACGTGGACGTTGACGTGGAGGTGGACGTGGACGTGGACATGGACGAGGACGTGGACGTGGACGTGGAAGTGGACGTGGACATGGACGTGGACGTGGACGTGGACGTGGACATGGACGTGGACGTTGACGTGGACGTGGACGTGGACGTGGACGTGGTCGTAGACGTGGACATGGACGTGGACGTGGACGTGGACATGGACGTGGACGTGGACGTGGACGTGGACATGGACGTGGACGTGGACATGGACGTGGACGTGGACGTTCACGTGGACGTGGACGTGGACGTGGTCGTAGACGTGGACGTGGACGTGGACGTGGACATGGACGTGGACGTGGACGTGGACGTTGACGTGGACGTGGACGTGGACGTGGACATGGACGTGGACATGGACGTGGACGTGGACGTGGACGTGGACGTGGACGTGGACGTGGACTTGGACGTGGACATGGACGTGGACATGGACGTGGACGTGGACATGGACGTGGACATGGACGTGGACGTGGATGTGGACGTGGACGTGGACATGGACGAGGACGTGGACGTGGACGTGGACGTGGACGTGGACATGGACGTGGACGTGGACGTGGACATGGACGTGGACGTGGACGTTGACGTGGACGTGGACGTGGACGTGGACGTGGTCGTAGACGGGGACGTGGACGTGGACGTGGACGTGGACGTGGACATGGACATGGACGTGGACGTGGACATGGACGTGGACGTGGACGTGGACGTGAACGTGGACGTAGACGTGGACATGGTCGTGGACGTGGACGTGGACGTGGTCGTGGACGTGGACGTGGTCGTGGACGTGGACGTGGTCGTGGACGTGGACGTGGACGTGGACGTGGTCGTGGACGTGGACGTGGACGTGGACGTGGACCTGGACATGGACGTGGTCGTGGACGTGGACGCGGTCGTGGACGTGGACGCGGACGTGGACGTGGACGTGGACGCGGACCTGGACCTGGACCTGGACCTGGACGTGGACGTGGACGTGGACGTGGACGTGGACGTAGACGTTGACGTGGATGTGGACGTGGACTTGGACGTGGACATGGACGTGGACATGGACGTGGACGTGGACATGGACGTGGACATGGACGTGGACGTGGACGTGGACGTGGACGTGGACATGGACGAGGACGTGGACGTGGACGTGGACGTGGACATGGACGTGGACGTGGACGTGGACATGGACGTGGACGTGGACGTTGACGTGGACGTGGACGTGGACGTGGACGTGGTCGTAGACGGGGACGTGGACGTGGACATGGACGTGGACGTGGACGTGGACATGGACATGGACGTGGACGTGGACAGGGACGTGGACGTGGACGTGGACGTGGACGTGAACGTGGACGTAGACGTGGACATGGTCGTGGACGTGGACGTGGACGTGGTCCTGGACGTGGACGTGGTCGTGGACGTGGACGCGGTCGTGGACCTGGACGTGGACGTGGTCGTGGACGTGGACGCGGTCGTGGACGTGGACGCGGACGTGGACGTGGACGTGGACGCGGACCTGGACCTGGACCTGGACCTGGACCTGGACCTGGACCTGGACGTGGTCGTGGACGTGGACGTGGACGTGGTCGTGGACGTGGACGTGGTCGTGGATGTGGTCGTGGACGTGGAAGCGGACGTCGACGTGGACGTGGACGTGGACGTGGACGTGGACGTGGACCTGGACGTGGACATGGACGTGGACGTGGACGTGGACATGGACGTGGACGTGGACGTTGACGTGGACGTGGACGTGGACGTGGACGTGGTCGTAGACGGGGACGTGGACGTGGACGTGGACGTGGACGTGGACATGGACATGGACGTGGACGTGGACATGGACGTGGACGTGGACGTGGACGTGAACGTGGACGTAGACGTGGACATGGTCGTGGACGTGGACGTGGACGTGGTCGTGGACGTGGACGTGGTCGTGGACGTGGACGTGGTCGTGGACGTGGACGTGGACGTGGACGTGGACGTGGTCGTGGACGTGGACGTGGACGTGGACGTGGACCTGGACATGGACGTGGTCGTGGACGTGGACGCGGTCGTGGACGTGGACGCGGACGTGGACGTGGACGTGGACGCGGACCTGGACCTGGACCTGGACCTGGACGTGGACGTGGACGTGGACGTGGACGTGGACGTAGACGTTGACGTGGATGTGGACGTGGACTTGGACGTGGACATGGACGTGGACATGGACGTGGACGTGGACATGGACGTGGACATGGACGTGGACGTGGACGTGGACGTGGACGTGGACATGGACGAGGACGTGGACGTGGACGTGGACGTGGACATGGACGTGGACGTGGACGTGGACATGGACGTGGACGTGGACGTTGACGTGGACGTGGACGTGGACGTGGACGTGGTCGTAGACGGGGACGTGGACGTGGACATGGACGTGGACGTGGACGTGGACATGGACATGGACGTGGACGTGGACAGGGACGTGGACGTGGACGTGGACGTGGACGTGAACGTGGACGTAGACGTGGACATGGTCGTGGACGTGGACGTGGACGTGGTCCTGGACGTGGACGTGGTCGTGGACGTGGACGCGGTCGTGGACCTGGACGTGGACGTGGTCGTGGACGTGGACGCGGTCGTGGACGTGGACGCGGACGTGGACGTGGACGTGGACGCGGACCTGGACCTGGACCTGGACCTGGACCTGGACCTGGACCTGGACGTGGTCGTGGACGTGGACGTGGACGTGGTCGTGGACGTGGACGTGGTCGTGGATGTGGTCGTGGACGTGGAAGCGGACGTCGACGTGGACGTGGACGTGGACGTGGACGTGGACGTGGACCTGGACGTGGACGTGGACTTGGACGTGGACGTGGACTTGGACTTGGACGTGGACGTGGACGTGGTCATGGACGTGGACGTGGACCTGGACCTGGACCTGGACCTGGACGTGGAAGTGGACTTGGACGTGGACGTGGACTTGGACGTGGACGTAGACGTAGACGTGGACGTGGACGTGATGGTGGACGTGGACGTGGACTTGGACGTGGACGTGGACTTGGACTTGGACGTGGACGTGGACGTGGTCATGGACGTGGACGTGGACCTGGACCTGGACCTGGACCTGGACGTGGAAGTGGACTTGGACGTGGACGTGGACTTGGACGTGGACGTAGACGTAGACGTGGACGTGGACGTGATGGTGGACGTGGACGTGGACGTGGACGTGGAGGACGTGGATGTGGATGTGGAGGACGTGGACGTGGACGTGGACGTGGACGTGGACATGGACGTGGACGTGGTCATGGACGTGGACGTGGACGTGGACTTGGACGTGGACGTGGACGTGGTCGTGGACGTGGACGTGGACGTGGACGTGGACGTGGTCGTGAACGTGGACGTGGACGTGGACGTGGTCGTGGACGTGGACGTGGACGTGGTCGTGGACGTGGTCGTGGACGTGGACGGTGACGTGGACGTGGACGTGGACGTGGTCGTGGACGTGGACGTGGACGTGGACGTGGACGTGGTCGTGGACGTGGACGTGGACGTGGTCGTGGATGTGGTCGTGGACGTGGAAGCGGACGTGGACGTGGACGTGGACGTGGACGTGGACGTGGAGGTGGACGTGGACGTGGTCGTGGACGTGGACGCGGACGTGGACGCGGACGTGGACGTGGACGTAGACGCGGACGTGGACGTGGACGTGGACGTGGTCGTGGACGTGGACGTGGTCGTGGACGTGGACGTGGACGTGGTCCTGGACGTGGACGTGGATGGACATGGACGTGGATGGACGTGGACGTGGACGTGGACGTGGACGTGGTCGTGGACGTGGACGTGGTCGTGGACGTGGACGTGGACGTGGACGTGGACGTGGACGTGGACTTGGACCTGGACGTTGACGTGGACCTGGACGTGGACGTGGACGTGGACGTGGACGTGGACGTAGACGTGGACGTGGTCGTGGACGTGGACGTGGACGTGGTCGTGGACGTGGACGTGGACGTGGACGTGGACGTGGTCGTAGACGTGGACGTGGACGTGGTCGTGGACGTGGACGTGGACGTGGTCGTGGACGTGGACGTGGACGTGGACGTGGACGTGGACATGGAAGTGGACGTGGTCGTGGACGTGGAGGTGGACTTGGACGTGGACGTGGTCGTGGACGTGGACGTGGACGTGGAAGTGGACGTGGACCTGGACGTGGACGTGGACGTGGTCGTGGACATGGACGTGGACGTGGACGTGGACATGGTCGTGGACGTGGACGTGGTCGTGGACGTGGACGAGGTCGTGGACGTGGACGTGGTCGTGGACGTGGACGTGGTCGTGGACGTGGACGTGGACGTGGACGTAGACGTGGACCTGGACGTGGACATGGACTTGGACGTGGACGTGGACTTGGACTTGGACGTGGACGTGGAGGTGGAAGTGGACTTGGACGTGGACGTGGACTTGGACGTGGACGTAGACGTGGACGTGGACGTGGACGTGGTCGTGGACATGGACGTGGACGTGGACCTGGACGTGGACGTGGACGTGGACGTGGACGTAGACGCGGAGTAGACGCGGACGTGGTCGTGGACGTGGACGTGGACGTGGTCGTGGACGTGGACGTGGTCGTGGACGTGGACGTGGTCGTGGACGTGGACGTGGATGGACATGGACGTGGATGGACGTGGACGTGGACGTGGACGTGGACGTGGACGTGGTCGTGGACGTGGACGTGGTCGTGGACGTCGACGTGGACGTGGACGTGGACGTGGACGTGGACGTGGACGTGGTCCTGGACCTGGACGTGGACGTGGACGTGGACATAGACGTGGACGTGGTCGTGGACGTGGACGTGGACGTGGTCGTGGACGTGGACGTGGTCGTGGACGTGGACGTGGACGTGGTCGTGGACGTGGACGTGGACGTGGACGTGGTCGTGGACGTGGACGTGGACGTGGTCGTGGACGTGGTCGTGGACGTGGACGTGGACGTGGACCTGGACGTGGACGTGGACTTGGACGTGGACGTGGACTTGGACTTGGACGTGGACGTGGACGTGGTCGTGGATGTGGACGTGGACGTGGTCGTGGACGTGGACGTGGAGGACGTGGACGTGGACGTGGACGTGGACTTGGACGTGGACGTGGACTTGGACTTGGAGGTGGACGTGGACGTGGACGTGGACGTGGTCCTGGACGTAGACGTGGTCCTGGACGTGGACGTCGACGTGGTCGTGGACGTGGACGTGGACGTGGATGGACATGGACGTGGATGGACGTGGACGTGGACGTGGACGTGGACGTGGTCGTGGACGTGGTCGTGGACGAGGACGTGGACGTGGACGTGGACCTGGACGTGGACGTGGACCTGGACGTGGACGTGGACGTGGTCGTAGACGTGGACGTGGACGTGGACGTGGTCGTGGATGTGGACCTGGACGTGGAGGTGGACGTGGACGTGGTCGTGGACGTGGACGTGGACGTGGACGTGGTCGTGGACGTGGACGTGGACGTGGTCGTGGACGTGGACGTGGACGTGGACGTGGTCGTAGACCTGGACGTGGTCGTGGACCTGGACGTGGACGTGGACCTGGACGTGGACTTGGACTTGGACGTGGACGTGGACGTGGTCGTGGACGTGAACGTGGACGTGGTGGTGGACGTGGACGTGGTGGACGTGGTGGTGGACGTGGACGTGGAGGACGTGGACGTGGACGTGGACGTAGACGTGGACGTGGACGTGGACGTGGACGTGGTCGTGGACGTGGACGTGGTCGCGGACGTGGACGCGGACGTGGACCTGGACGTGGACGTGGGCGTGGTCGTGGTCGTGGACGTGGACGTGGACGTGGACGTGGTCGTGGACGTGGTCGTGGACGTGGACGTGGACGTGGACCTGGACATGGACGTGGACGTAGACGTTGACGTGGACGTGGACCTGGACGTCGACGTGGACGTGGTCGTTGACGTGGACGTGGACGTAGACGTGGACGTGGACGTGGTCGTGGTCGTGGACATGGTCGTGGACGTGGTCGTGGACGTGGACGTGGACGTGGACGTGGACGTGGACCTGGACGTGGACGTGGACGTTGACGTTGACGTGGACGTGGTCGTACACGTGGACGTGGACGTGGACGTGGACGTGGAGGTGGACGTGGACGTGGACGTGGACGTGGTCGTGGTCGTGGAGGTGGACGTCGACGTGGACGTGGACGTGGACGTGGTCGTGGACGTGGACGTGGTCGTGGACGTGGACGTGGACGTGGTCGTGGACGTGGACGTGGACGTGGACGTGGTCGTGGACGTGGACGTGGACGTGGACCTGGACGTGGACATGGACGTGGACGTGGACGTGGTCGTGGACGTGGACGTGGTCGTGGACGTGGTCGTGGTCGTGGACGTGGACGTGGACGTCGACGTGGACGTGGACGTGGGCGTGGACGTGGTCGTGGTCGTGGACGTGGACGTGGACGTGGACGTGGACGTGGTCGTGGACGTAGACGTGGACGTGGACGTGGACGTGGACGTGGACGTGGACTTGGACCTGGACGTGGACGTGGACGTGGACGTGGACGTGGACCTGGTCATGGACGTGGACGTGGACGTGGACCTGGACCTGGACTTGGACGTGGACGTGGACGTGGACGTGGACATGGTCGTGGACGTGGACGTGGACGTGGACCTGGACGTGGACTTGGACGTGGTCATGGACGCGGACGTGGACCTGGTCGTGGACGTGGACGTGGACGTGGACGTAGACGCGGACGTGGACGTGGACGTGGACGCGGACGTGGTCGTGGACGTGGACGTGGTCGTGGACGGGGACGTGGACGTGGACGTGGACCTGGACGTGGACTTGGACGTGGTCATGGACGCGGACGCGGACCTGGTCGTGGACGTGGACGTGGACGTGGACGTGGACGCGGACGTGGACGTGGACGCGGACGCGGACGTGGACGCGGACATGGTCGTGGACGTGGACGGGGTCGTGGACGTGGACGTGGACGTGGTCGTGGACGTGGACGTGGACTAGTCGTGGACGTGGACGTGGTCGTGGACGTGGACGTGGACGTGGACGTGGTCGTGGACGTGGACGTGGACGTGGACGTGGACGTGGACGTGGACGTGGTCATGGACGTGGACGTGGACCTGGACGTGGACGTGGACGTGGACCTGGACGTGGACGTGGACTTGGACGTGGACGTGGACTTGGACTTTGACGTGGACGTGGACGTTGACGTGGTCGTGGACGAGGACGTGGACGTGGACGTGGACGTGGTCGTGGACATGGACGTGGACGTGGTCGTGGACGTGGACGTGGACGTGGACATGGACGTGGAGGTGGACGTGGGCGTGGTCGTGGGCGTGGACGTGGTCGTGGACGTGGGCGTGGGCGTGGTCGTGGACGTGGACGTGGACGTGGTCGTGGACGTGGACGTGGGCTTGGTCGTGGTCGTGGACGTGGACGTGGCCGGACGTGGACGTGGACGTGGTCGTGGACGTGGACGTGGGCTTGGTCGTGGTCGTGGACGTGGACGTGGACGTGGACGTGGTCGTGGACGTGGACGTGGACGTGGTCGTGGACGTGGATGTGGACATGGTCGTGGATGTGGTCGTGGACGTGGACGTGGACGTGGTCGTGGACGTGGACGTGGACGTGGTCATGGACGTGGACGTGGTCGTGGACGTGGACGTGGAGGTGGAGGTGGACGGGGACGTGGACGTGGACGTGGAGGACGAGGGTTGCAAGAGCATTGCAACGCTCCAGGGTGGTCGGCAAGAGCATTGCAACACTCTGGGGTGTCCAACAAGTGCACTGCAATGCTCCGGGGTGTCCGGCAAGAGCACAGCAATGCTCTGGGGAGTCTGCCAAGAGCATTGCAACGCTCCAGGGTGGCCGGCAAGAGCACTGCAATGCTACGGGGTGTCCGGCAAGTGCAGTGCAATGCTCCAGAGTGTCTGGCAACAGCATTGTTACGCTCCGGGGTGTCCCGCAAGAACATTGCAACGCTCTCGGGTGGTCGGCAAGAGCATTGCAACGCTCCAGGATGGTCGGCAAGAGCATTGCAGCGCTCCAGGGTGTCCGGCAAGAGCCTTGCAACGCTCCAGGGTGTCCGCCAGGAGCATTGCAACGCTCCGGGTTGTCCGGCAAGACCATTGCAACGCTATAGGGTGTCCCGCAAGAGCATTGCAACGCTTCAGTGTGTCCGGAAGAGCATTGCAATGCTCAAGGGTGTCCAGCAAGAGTACAGCAACGCTCCAAGGGTGTCCAGCTAGAGCATTGCAACGCTCCAGGGTGTCCGGCCATTGCAACGCTCCAGGGTGTCCGGCAAGAACATTGCAACGCTACGGGGTGTCCGGCAAATGCACTGCAACGCTCTGCGGTGTCCGGCAAGAGCAGTGCAACGCTCCAGGGTGTCCGGCAAGAGCATTGCAACGATCCAGGGTATCCGCCAAGAGCATGGCAACGCTCCGGGGTGTCCAAGAAGTGCACTACAACGCTCCCGGGTGTCCGGCAAGAGCATTGCAACGCTCCAGGGTGGCCTGCAAGAGCAATGCAACGCTCCACGGTGGTCGGCAAGAGCATTGCAACGCTCCAGGGTGTCCGGCAAGTGCGCTACAACGCTCCGGGGTGTCCGGCAAGAGCACTACAATGCTCTGGGGTGTCCGGCAAGAGCATTGCAACACTCCAAGGTGGGCGGCAAGAGCACTGCAACGCTCCAGGGTGGCCAGCAAGAGCATTGCAATGCTCCGGGGTGTCCAGCAAGAGCATTGCAACGCTCCTGGGTGGTCAGTTAGGGCATTGCAACGCTCCAGGGTGGTCGGCAAGAGCATTGCAGCGCTCCAGGGTGTCCGGCAAGAGCATTGCAACGCTCCAGGGTGTAAGGGAGGAGCATTGCAACGCTTCGGGGTGTCGTGCAAGAGCATTGCAACGCTCCAGGGTGTCCGGCAAGAGCATTGCAACGCTTCAGGGTGGCCAGCAAGAGCATTGCAACGCTCTTGGGTGGTCAGCAAGAGCATTGCAACACTCCATGATGTCCAACAAGTGCACACCAACGCTCTGGGGGGTCCGGCAAGAGAAGTGCAATGCTCTGGGGTGTCTGCCAAGAGCATTGCAACACTCCAGGGTGGCCGTCAAGACCACAGCAACGCTCTGGGGTGTCCGGCAAGAGCATTGCAACACTACAGGGTGTCCGGCAAGAGCATTGCAACGCTCCTGGGTATCCGGCAAGTGCACTGCAACGCTCCAAGGGTGTCTAGCTAGAGCATTGCAACGCTCCAGGGTGTCCGGCAATTGCAACGCTCTAGGGTGTCCGGCAAGTGCACTACAACGCTCTGGGGTGTCCAGCAAGAGCACTACAATGCTCTGGGGTGTCCGGCAAGAGCATTGCAACACTCCAAGGTGACCGGCAAGAGCACTGCAACGCTCCAGGGTGGCCAGCAAGAGCATTGCAACGCTCCGAGGTGTCCGGCAAGAGCATTGCAACGCTCCTGGGTGGTCGATAAGAGCATTGCAGCGCTCCAGGGTGGTCGGCAAGAGCATTGCAGCGCTCCTGGGTGTCCGCCAAGAGCATTGCAACGCTCCAGGGTGTCAGGCAGGAGCATTGCAACGCTCTGGGGTGTCCTGCAAGAGCATTGCAACGCTCCAGGGTTTCCGGCAAGAGCATTGCAACGCTCCAGGGTGTCCGGCAAGTGCGCTACAACGCTCCGGGGTGTCCGGCAAGAGCACTACAATGCTCTGGGGTGTCCGGCAAGAGCATTGCAATACTCCAAGGTGGGCGGCAAGAGCACTGAAACGCTCCAGGGTGGCCAGCAAGAGCATTGCAACGCTCCGGGGTGTCCAGCAAGAGCATTGCAACGCTCCTGGGTGATCGGTTAGGGCATTGCAACGCTCCAGGGTGGTCGGCAAGAGCATTGCAGCGCTCCAGGGTGTCCGGCAAGAGCATTGCAACGCTCCAGGGTGTCAGGGAGGAGCATTGCAACGCTCCGCGGTGTCGTGCAAGAGCATTGCAACGCTCCAGGGTGTCCGGCAAGAGCATTGCAACGCTTCAGGGTGGCCGGCAAGAGCATTGCAACGCTCTTGGGTGGTCAGCAAGAGCATTGCAACAATCCAGGATGTCCAACAAGTGCACACCAACGCTCTGGGGGGTCCGGCAAGAGTAGTGCAATGCTCTGGGGTGTCTGCCAAGAGCATTGCAACACTCCAGGGTGGCCGTCAAGAGCACAGCAACGCTCTGGGGTGTCCGGCAAGAGCATTGCAACACTACAGGGTGTCCGGCAAGAGCATTGCAACGCTCCTGGGTATCCGGCAAGTGCACTGCAACGCTCCAAGGGTGTCTAGCTAGAGCATTGCAACGCTCCAGGGTGTCCAGCAATTGCAACGCTCTAGGGTGTTCGGCAAGTGCACTATAACGCTCTGGGGTGTCCAGCAAGAGCACTACAATGCTCTCGGGTGTCCGGCAAGAGCATTGCAACGCTCCAAGGTGGCCGGCAAGAGCACTGCAACGCTCCAGGGTGGCCAGCAAGAGCATTGCAACGCTCGGGGGTGTCCGGCAAGAGCATTGCAATGCTCCTGGGTGGTCGATAAGAGCATTGCAGCGCTCCAGGGTGGTCGGCAAGAGCATTGCAGCGCTCCTGGGTGTCCGCCAAGAGCATTGCAACGCTCCAGGGTGTCAGGTAGGAGCAATGCAACGCTCTCGGGTGTCCTGCAAGAGCATTGCAACGCTCCAGGGTGTCCGGCAAGAGCATTGCAACGCTTCAGGGTGGCCGGCAAGAGCACTGCAACGCTCTTGGGTGGTCGGCAAGAGCATTGCAACACTCCGGGGTGTCCAACAAGTGCACTGCAACGCTCCGGGGGGTCCGGCAAGAGCACTGCAATGCTCCAAGGTGTCTGCCAAGAGCATTGCAACGCTCGAGGGTGGCCGGCAAGAGCACTGCAACGCTCCGTGGTGTCCAGCAAGTGCACTGCAATGCTCCAGGGTGTCCGGCAAGAGCATTGCAACGCTCCATAGTGTCCGGCAAGAGCATTGCAACGCTCTCGGGTGGTCGGCAAGAGCATTGCAAAGCTCCAGGGTGGTCGGCAAGAGCATTGCAGCGCTCTAGGGTGTCTCGCAAGAGCCTTGCAACGCTCCAGGGTGTCCGGCAGGAGCATTGCAACGCTCCGGGGTGTCCGGCAAGAGCATTGCAACGCTCCAGGGTGTTCGGCAAGAGCATTGCAACGCTCCAATGTGTTCGGCAAGAGTATTGCAATGCTCCATGGTGTCTAGCAAGAGCATTGCAACGCTCCGGGGTGTCCGGCAAGAGCATTGCAACGCTCTAGGGTGTCCGGCAAGAGCATTGTAACGCTCCAGGGTGTCCGGCAAGTGCAGTGCAACGCTCCGGGATGTCCGGCAAGAGCATTGCAACGCTCCAGGGTGTCCGGCAAAAGCATTGCAACGTTCCGAGGTGTCCGGCAAGTGCACTGCAACGCTCCGGATGTCCGGCAAGAGCACTGCAACGCTCCAGGGTGTCCGGCAAGAGCATTGCAACGATCTAGGGTGTTTGCTAAGAGCATTGCAACGCTCCAAGGTGTCTGGCAAGTGCAATGCAATGCTCCGGGGTCTCCGGCAAGAGCATTGCAATGCTACATGGTGTCTGGCAAGACCATTGCAACGCTCCAGGGTGTCCAGCAAGAGAATTGCCACGCTCCGGGGTGTCCGGCAAGTGCATTGCAACGCTCCGGGGTGTCCGGCGAGAGCATTGCAACGCTTCGCGGTGTCCGGCAAGAGCCTTGCGACACTCCAGGGTGTCCGGCAAGGACATTGCAACGCTCTTGGGTGTCCGGCAAGAGCATTGCAACGCTCTAGGGTGGTCGGCAAGAGCATTGCAACGCTCCAGGGTGGTCGGCAAGAGCATTGCAGCGCTCCAGGGTGTCCGGCAAGAGCCTTGCAACGCTCCAGGGTGTCCGGCAGGAGCATTGCAATGCTCCGGGGTGTCCGGGAAGAGCATTGCAACGCTCCAGGGTGTTCGGCAAGAGCATTGCAAAGCTCCAGTGTGTCCTGGAAGAGCATTGCAATGCTCCAGGTGTCCAGCAAGAGCATTGCAACGCTCCGGGGTGTCCGGCAAGAGGATTGCAACGCTCCAGGGTGTCCAGCAACAGCATTGTAACGCTCCAGGGTGTCCGGCAAGTGCAGTGCAACGCTACGGGATGTCCGGCAAGAGCATTGCAACACTCCCGGGTGGTCAGCAAGAGCATTGGAACGCTCCAGGGTGGTCAGCAAGAGCATTGCAGCGCCCCGGGGTGTCCGGCAAGCACTTTGCAACGATCCGGGGTGTCTGGCAAGAGCATTGCAACGCTCCAAGGTGTTTAACAAGAGCATTGCAACGCTCTAGGGTATCCGGCAAGAGCGTTGCAACACTCCGGGGTGTCCGGCAAGAGCAGTGCAACGCTCCGGGGTGTCCGGCAAGTGCACTCCAACGCTCCAGGTGTTCGGCAAGAGCATTGCAACGCTATAGGGTGTTCGATAAGAGCACTGCAACGCTCATGGGTGTCCGGCAAGAGCACTGCAACGCTCCGGGGTGTCTGGCAAGAGCATTGCAACGCTACGGGGTATCCGGCAAGAGCATTGCAACGCTCCGGGGTGTCAGGCAAGAGCACACCAACGCTCCGGGGTGTCCGGCAAGAGAATTGCAACGCTCCAGGGTGTCCGGCAAGAGCATTGCAACGCTCAGGGGTGCCCGGCAAGTGCACTACAACGCTCCAGGGTGTCCAGCTAGAGCATTGCAACGCTCCAGGCTGTTTGGCAAGAGCATTGCAACGCTACGGGGTGTCCGGCAAATGCACTGCAACACTACGGGGTATCCGGCAATAGCACTGTAACGCTCCTGGGTGTCCGGCAAGAGCATTGCAACGCTCCGGGGTTTCCGGCAAGTGCACTGCAACGTTCCAAGGTGTCTGGCTAGAGCTTTGCAACGCTCTAGGGTGGACGGCAAAAGCATTGCAACGCTCCAGGGTGGTCGGCAAGAGCATTGCAACGCTCCAAGGTGGCCAGCAAGAGCACTGCAACGCTCCGGGGTGTCCCGCAAGTGCACTGCAACGCTCCAGGGTGGCCGGTAAGAGCATTGAAACGCTCCGGGGTGTCCGGCAAGAGCATTGCAGTGCTCCTGGGTGGTCGGCAAGAGCATTGCAACGCTCCAGGGTGGTCGGCAAGAGCATTGCAGCGCTCTAGGGTGTCCAGCAAGAGCATTGCAATGCTCTAGGGTGTCAGGCAGGAGTATTGCAACGCTCCGAGGTGTCGTGCAAGAGCATTGCAACGCTCCAGGGTGGCCGGCAAGAGCATTGCAACGCTCCAGGGTGGTTGGCAAGAGCATTGCAACACTCCGGGGTGTCCAACAAGTGCACTGCAATGCTCTGGGGTGTCCGGCAAGAGCACTGCAATCCTCTGGGGTGTCTGCCAAGAGCATTGCAACGCTCCAGGGTGGCCGGCAAGAGCACTGCAACGCTCCGGGGTGTCCAGCAAGTGCAGTGCAATGCTCCAGGGTGTCCGGCAAGAGCATTGTTACGCTCCGGGGTGTCCCGCAAGAGCATTGCAGCGCTCTCGGGTGGTCGGCAAGAGCATTGCAACGCTCCAGGATGGTCGGCAAGAGCATTGCAGCGCTCCAGGGTGTCCGGCAAAAGCCTTGCAACGCTCTAGGGTGTCCGGCAGGACCATTGCAACGCTATAGGGTGTCCGGCAAGAGCATTGCAAAGCTCTCGGGTGGTCGGCAAGAGCATTGCAAAGCTACAGGGTGGTCGGCAAGAGCATTGCAACGCTCCAGGGTGTGCGGCAAGAGCCTAGCAACGATCCCGGGTGTCCGGTAGGAGCATTGCAACGCTCCGGGGTGTCCGGCAAGAGCATTGCAACGCTCCAGGGTGTTCGGCAAGAGCTTTCCAACGCTCCAGTGTGTCCGGCAAGAGCATTGCAATGCTCCAGGGTGTCTAGCAAGAGCATTGCAACGCTCCGGGGTGTCCGCCAAGAGCATTGCAATGCTCCAGGGTGTCCGGCAAGAGCATTGTAACGCTCCAGGGTGTCCGGCAAGTGCAGTGCAACGCTCTGGGATGTCCGGCAAGAGCATTGCAACGCTTCGAGTTGTCCGGCAAGTACACTGCAACACTCCGGGGTGTCCGGCAAGAGCATTGCAACGCTCTCGGGGGGTCGGCAAGAGCATTGCAGCGCTCCATGGTGTCCGGCAAGAGCCTTGCAATGCTCCAGGGTGTCCGGCAGGAGCATTGCAACGCTCCGGGGTGTCCGGCAAGAGCATTGCAACGCTCCAGTGTGTTCGGCAAGAGCATTGCAGCGCTCCAGGGTGTCCAGGAAGAGCATTGCAATGCTCCAAGGTGTCCAGCATAAGCATTGCAACGCTTCGGGGTGTCCGGCAAGAGCATTGCAACGCTCCAGGGTGTCTGTCAAGAGCATTGTAACGCTCTAGGGTGTCCGGCAAGTGCAGTGCAACGCTCTGGGATGTTCGGCAAGAGCATTGCAACGCTCCAGGGTGTCCGGCAAAAGCATTGCAACGCTTCAAGGTGTCTGGCAAGTGCACTGCAACGCCCGAGGGTGTCCGGCAACAGCACTGCAACGCTCCAAGGTGTCCGGCAAGAGCATTGCAACGATCCAGGGTGTTTGCCAAGAGCATTGCAACGCTCCAAGGTGTCCGGCAAGTGCAATGCAACGCTCCGGGGTGTCCGGCAAGAGCATTGCAATGCTACAGGGTGTCTGGCGAGACCATTGCAACGCTTCAGGGTGTCCATCAAGAGCATTGCAACGCTCCAAGGTGTCAGGCAAGAGCATTGCAACGCTCCATGGTGTCCGGGAAGAGCATTGCAACGCTCTAGGGAGTCTGACAAGAGCATTGCAACTCTTTGGGGTGTTCGGCTAGTGCATTGCAACGCTCCGGGGTGTTTGGCAAGAGCATTGCAACGCTCCAGGGTGTCCGGCAAGAGTATTGCAACGCTCGAGGGTGTTCGGCAAGAGCATTGCAACGATCCTGGGTGTCCGCCAAGAGCATTGCAACGCTAGGGGGTGTCCGGCAAGTGCACTGCAATGCTCTGGGGTGTTCGGCAAGAGCATTGCAATGCTTCAGGGTGGCCGGCAAGAGCATTGCAGCGCTCCGGGGTGTCCGTCAAGAGCATTGCAACGCTCCAAGGTGTCCGGAAAGAGCATTGCAACGCTCCGGGGTGTCCGGCAAGAGCATTGCAACGCTCCGGGGTGTTCGGCAAGAGCATTGCAACGCTCCCGAGTGGTTAGCAAGAGCATTGCAATGCTCCAGGGTGGTCGGCAAGAGCATTGCAGCGCTCCGAGGTGTTTGGCAATAGAATTGCAACGCTCTAGGGTGTCCGGCAAGAGCGTTGCAACACTCCAGGGTGTCCGGCAAGAGCAGTGCAACGCTCCGAGGTGTCCGAGAAGTGCAGTGCAACGCTCTAGGGGTGTCCTGCAAGAGCATTGCAACACTCCCGGGTTGTCGGCAAGAGCATTGCAACGCTCTAGGGTGGTCGGCAAGAGCATTGCAACGCTCCAGGGTGGTCCACGACCACATCCACGTCCACGTCCACGTCCACGTCCACGACCACGTCCACGACCACGTCCACGTCCACGTCCACGTCCATGTCCACGTCCACGACCACGTCCACGTCCACGTCCACGTCCACGTCCAAGTCCACGTCCACGTCCACGACCACGTCCACGTCCACGTCCACGACCACGTCCACGTCCACGTCCACGCCCACGTCCACGTCCACGACCAGGTCCACGTCCACGTCCACATCCACGACCACGTCCACGTCCACGTCCACGACCACGTCCACGTCCACGTCCACGTCCTCCACGTCCACGTCCACGTCCACGTCCACGACCACGTCCACGACCACGTCCACGTCCACGTCCACATCCAGGTCCACGTCCACGTCCACGTCCACGTCCTCCACGTCCACGTCCACGTCCTCCACGTCCACGTCCACGTCCACGTCCACTTCCATGTCCACTTCCACGTCCACGTCCACGTCCACGTCCACATCCACGTCCACGTCCACGTCCACGACCACGTCCACGTCCACGACCACGTCCACGTCCACGTCCACGTCCTCCACGTCCACAACCACGTCCACGTCCACTTCCATGTCACGTCCACATCCACGTCCACGTCCTCCACGTCCACGTCCACGTCCACGTCCACGTCCACGTCCAAGTCCACGTCCAAGTCCACGTCCACGTCCACGTCCAAGTCCACGTCCACATCCACGTCCTCGACCACGTCCATGTCCACGTCCACGACCACGTCCACGACCGGGTCCACGTCGTGGACGACCACGTCCACGTCCACGACCACGTCCACGTCCACCTCCACGTCCACCTCCACGTCCACGTCCACGTCCAGGTCCACGTCCACGTCCACGTCCACGACCACGTCCACGTCCACGTCCACGACCACGTCCACGACCACGTCCACGTCCACGTCCACGTCCAAGTCCACGTCCACGTCCACGTCCACGTCAGATCCACGTCCACGTCAGGTCCACGTCCACGTCAGGTCCACGTCCACGTCCACGTCAGGTCCACGACCACGTCCACGTCCACGTCCACCTCCACCTCCACGTCCACGTCCACGTCCACGTCCAAGTCCACGTCCACGTCCACGTCCACGTCCACGTCCACGACCATGACCACGACCACGTCCACGTCCACGTCCACGTCCCCGTCCACGTCCACGTCCACGTCCACGCCCACTTCCACGTCCAGGTCCACGTCCACGTCCACGTCCACGTCCAAGTCCACGTCCACGTCCAGGTCCACGTCCACGTCCACGACCACGACCACGTCCACGACCACGTCCACGACCACGTCCACGTCCACGACCACGTCCACATCCACGACCACGACCACGTCCACGTCCACGACCACGTCCACGTCCACGTCCACGACCACGTCCACGTCCACGTCGACGTCCACGTCCTCCACGTCCACGTCCACGTCCTCCACCACGTCCACGTCCACGTCCACGTCCTCCATGTCCACGTCCAGCCTCCACGTCCACGTCCACGACCACGTCCACGTCCACGTCCTCCACGTCCACGTCCTCCATGTCCACGTCTACGTCTACGTCCACGTCTACATCCACGTCCACGTCCAGGTCCACGTCCTCCACGTCCAGGTCCACGTCCACGTCCACCACGTCCACCACCACGTCCACCTCCACGTTCACGTCCACCTCCACGTCCATGTCCTCCACGTCCACGTCCACATCCACGTTCACCACGTCCAAGTCCACGACCACGTCCTCGTCCATGTCCACGTCCACGTCTACGTCCACGTCCACGTCCACGACCACGTCCACGTCCACGTCCACGTCCACCACGTCCACGTCCACGTCCACGTCCACCACGTCCACGTCCACGACCACGTCCACGTCCACGTCCACGTCCACTTCCACCACCACGTCCACGTCCACGTCCACGTCCACTTCTACGACCACGTCCACGTCCACGTCCACCACGTCCACGTCCACCACGTCCACGTCCACCACGTCCACGTCCACGTCCACCACCACGTCCACGTCCACGTCCACGTCCACCACCACGTCCACGTCCACATCCAAGTCCACGACAACGTCCACGTCCACGTCCACCACGTCCACGTCCACCACGTCCACGTCCACGTCCATGATCGTGTCCACGTCCACGTCAAGGTCCATGTCTGGTCGTGGACGTGGACGTGGACGTGGACGTGGTGGACATGGACGTGGACGTGGACGCGGTCGTGGACGTGGTCGGGGATGCGGTCGTGGACGCGGACGCGGTCGTGGACGCGGACGCGGACGTAGACGCGGACGTGGACGTGGACGTGGTCGTGGACGCGGTCGTGGACGTGGACGCGGACGCGGACGCGGACGTGGACGCGGACGTGGACGCGGTCGTGGACGTGGACATGGACGTGGACGTGGTCGTGGACGTGGACGTGGACGTGGTCGTGGACGTGGACGTGGACGTGGTCGTGGACGTGGACGTGGATGTGGTCGTGGACGTGGACGTGGTCGGGACATGGACGCGGTCGTGGACGTGGACGTGGACGTGGACTTGGACGTGGACGGGGACGTGGTGGACGTGGTGGACGTGGACGTGGACGTGGTCGTCGACGTGGACGTGGACGTCGACGTGGTCGTGGACGTGGACATGGACGTGGTGGTGAACGTGGACGTGGACGTGGACGTGGTCGTGGACGTGGACGCGGATGAGGACGCGGACGTGGACGCGGATGAGAAAGTCAGAACGTGCATGAATGAACTATGAAACAGTTGGGTACAAGTACTAACCCTAATTGGGTTGTACCCCTTATGGGCTACCCCACTACAGCCTACACAAATGCATAAGCTATAATATTCTGACACACCCCCATAGGCAAAGTGGGGGAGAACAAGGGGTCACAAGACCAGTCAGGCAAAGCTAAGCAAAGCAAGCTCAGGGTGGATCACAAAGTCACCACACATTCCGAGCACAAGGTCAAGACCACAAGGCAAGTTCACATGCAGGAGTACATTTATATATATAAAAGGCTGGACAAGCAAGAGCAAGAGTTTATATATAGGTAACAGTACAAGCAAGGTCAAGAGGTGAGCAAGTGAGGCAAGGCAGGCACAAGACCCAGCTGAGTACAGAAGCGCTGATGATCACAAGGCGCAAGCGCCTTGGTGAAGATATCAGCAGTGTTGGCCTCAGAGGCCACGTACGCAATACGCAGCTGACCACGCTGCTGTAGCTCACGAGCAAGGAAGTAGCGAAGAGCAATGTGCTTTGTTCTGTGCTCCAGTCTCTGCTCTCGACACAAGGCCAGCATGGCCTTGTTGTCTACGTACAGCACTGGAGGAGAAGGAGGCGGCTCTCTGAGGTCAGTCAGCAGGTAGGTGAGCTAGCAAAGCTCCTGTGCAGCCATGGCCCCAGCGTAGATCTCAACCTCACAACTGGAGCCGAGAACAGAAGACGAGTGGGTAGCCCGCCACGAAACAGAGCCGGAACCAAGGCTGAAGGTGTAACCCTGTGACGACCGCTGCGTAGCCTGGTCGTCAGCCCAAGAAGCGTCTGCGTGCCCAGTGAGGACCACTGGACTCTGCCCTCCAAGCACAAGCCCCATGCCTGACGTACTGCACAAACAGCGCAACACCCTCTTCGCTGCAGCCATGTGCTCCGGTCTGTGTCTCCCAGGAGCAACATAGCGTGCGAGAATGCTATGAGGGTATGCAAGGTCAGGTCGTGTGCAGGTCATCAGGTACATGAGGCAGCCAACAAGCTCTGGGTACGGGCCACTCGACTCTACGGACTCATCCGAAGGCAGAGCTGAGAGCGAGTGGCGAGTAGGCAGAGGAGTGGCCTGAGGCGAGAAGTACGTGAAGCCGAAGCGCTAAAGGACCTGCTGCACCATGTGTGACTGAGTCAAGGTAATGGTGCGGCGTGCTCTGTCCCGGGTGATCTGCAAGCCAAGGTAGCTGCGCAGTTCACCCAGCTCTTTGCACGTGTGTCTCTTCTGCATCTCGGACTTCACGTGGGCGAGTTCAGCAGTGTCAGCTGTGGCAAAGACCAAGTCGTCGACGTACACGAGGATGTAGAACAGCGGCAAAGAAGTGTCGGTGCGCAGAAACAGTGACGGGTCGGCAGTAGAGGGAGCAAACCCAAGAGCCGCAAGTGTAGTCCTCAGTGTGTCGTGCCACTCACGCGGTGCCTGGCGGAGACCGTAGACTGGCCGCCGGAGGCTCCACTGGGTGCCAGGAGGAAAAGTCCCAGTGAGCCAAGTGGGCGGCGCAGCCAGATCTCCTCGTGCAGGCTGCCCTGCAAGAAAGCTGTGCTGAAGTCAAGAGAGTGAAGCTCGTAGTCGCGCTGAGCGGCTATGTGCAGCAGCACCCGAAGAGTGGTCATCTTCGGGGTGGGAGAGAAGGTCTGAAACTAGTCAACTCCCTACCGCTGACTGAAGCCACGAGCCACGTAACGCGCCTTGAAGACAGGCGGAGAACCCGGCGGCCGCTTCACCCTGAAAATCCACATGCCACTGACGATGTTCGCCCCAGGAGGGGGAACAGCGTCAACGTAGGTGCCTGTGGACTTCCAGGAAGCCATCTTTGCGTCCATAGCTGCCTGCCACTGAGAGGAGTAGGGACCCTCTATCGCCTCCGCGTAAGAGCGCGGAGTCGGGATGTCAAGTGCATCCGGGTCTCCCTCAGGGGTAAGCAGTACGGACACGAGATGAGGTGAAGTAGCGGCCAAGCATAAGAACTCCTCCTGCCTGTCCTCGAGGACGTCCGTGCCAAGGGCACACTCACCCCCGACGGACGGAGGACAGACAGACTCAGACTCAGCAACAAGACTAGCAGCGTAGTCTAGACGACAGCGAGCAGCAAAGTCGACGAGCTCAGCAACTAGGGCTGACGCAGCAGTGGACTCAAAGGAAGGGTCAGTGACAACAGTAGCAAGGAGACGCGTGACAGTAGGACTGGCAGCACGAAGAGAGTCCGACTCCGGGTCGGCAAGAGCAGGAAGAGAGGACTCAGGAGGAGAAGGCAAAGGGGCACGCAGAGGAGTAGTGGACGGACGCAGAGACTTCCGGTGCGTGCCAGGGACAAGAGGAGGACGATGACGCGAACCACGACCACTAGTGCGAGCAGCACGGACGGGCGACGCAGGGCGAGACGCAGGCTCACGACGCTCAGCAAGACCTCCAGTAGGACCAGTGTAGGGAGAAGGAGCAGGCATTGGGGAGGCCGGCTATAATTGTAACTGTGACGGGACAGGCTGTGGACACTCTAAGGGAGGAGGAGGACCAGGAGAAGGCGGGAGACCAAGAACCAGCTGAAGGAGCGGAACGAGGTACGGCCGAGGCCGCGCGGCAACTCCAGACACAGCAGGGACAGCTCCAGCACCCCCAGCGGCAGCACCAGCGCCAGTAGCACATCCAGCTCCAGCACCTCCAGCAGCACCAGTAGCACCCCCAGCAAGACCGCCTCCAGAACCGACAGCAATAGCCTCAGCGCCAACACCCTCAGCAGCTCCATCTCCAGCCGTGCCTGCAGGCCCAGCAGCTCCAGTACTCCCAGTACGAGCACCTCCGGGACCCGCGGCACCAGCGCCCTCAGTAGCCGAAGAACCTCCAGCTCTAGCAGCACGCCTTTAGCGCCGGGCAAACCACTCGCGCAGCTCTTGTGGAGAGAGTGGCTCCCGCCGAGACGAAGCACCTGGAGAACCTCCAGGCCCAGCACCGCCAGACGCCACACGAGCAGGCCCAGCTCCCTCAGGCTCCGCACCCCCAGGCTCAGTACCTCCAGGCGTAGCACCCCCAGGCTCAGCACCCCCAGGCGTAGCACCCCCAGGCTCAGCACCCCCAGGCTCAGCACCCCCAGTCTCAGCACCCCCAGGCTCAGCACCCCCAGTAGTAGCACCCGCAAGCTCAGCACCCCCAGGCGTAGCACCCACACGCTCAGCACCCCCAGAGTCAGCACCCTCAGCAGCACCAGAGTCACCAGCAACCTCGACAGGCTCAACTGCGTCTACCTGGGACACACCTGACGGGGCAGGACCCTAAGGGGGGAGGGGGTCTACCGGGGGAGGACTTGGCGCAAGGAAGAGCGGCGGCAGGGGGAGGGGCGCAGTGCGGTAGGGGAAGAGACGGTAGTAAGGCACCGACTCGTCAAAGGTGACGTCCTGGGAGGACAGAACAAGGCGCGAGGTGGGGTGGTAAAACTACCACCCAGGCGCGTCAGGGGGGAAGCCAAGGAAGACGTAGTGAACAGCACGGGGAGACAGCTTGTCTGCAGACAAGTCGCGGACAAACGCCCGAGATCCCCAGACCCGAAACGCAGACGCATCGCCAACCTTCCCCGTCCACCGCAAGGTGGGGGAGGTCTTAGGCAAGGAGACCCGGGGCTGAAGGTTGAGCTGATGCGCTGCGTACTGAACCGCAAACGGCCACAGAAAATGGGGGGCAGCCGCATGGATCATGGACGTACGAGCGACGTCCATGACCATGCCAATGTGGCGCTCAGCAATCCCATTTTGCTGTGGAGAGGCCGGAAGCGTGAAGGTCTAACGTATGCCCTGTGCACGACAGAAGGCTCCCAGACGGGCAGAGGAAAACTCCCCGCCTCTGTCAGAGTGCAGACGCAGAACAGGAAAGTCCGAGCCGAAACTCTCTCTGAGGTGGAGACGAGCTGCACGGATCCAGTCGATCAACACCTCAGTGACGTCACCCTTGCTGCGCGAGGGGAAGACTGTGGTGTAACGCGAGTAGTCGTCAACCACCAACAAGAAGTAACGCTCGTGCCCCTGTCCACGGACGCGGGCGGGGCCCCACACGTCCATGTGAAGAGTCTGCAGCGGAGCCTCTGTCGGAGGAAACTCGGAGGAGTGAGGGGCGGCGCGCTGTCGCCCCTCGACGCAGGGGACGCAGGTAGGGGCAGGCCCCGGAGGTAGCGGAGGGAGAGACCGGAGAAGACAAGAGACAAGGACACGGGACGCCATGCCTCAGAGACGAGGCAAGGAAGGGTGACCAAGGCGGTGGTGCCAAAGGAGAGTCTGGTGGGACAGGAGACGACACGAGCAGGGAGCAGACTCAGGACCAGACCTGGACTCAACCCCCCTATCCTGTGGATCAGCTCCACTCACCAAGTTTGTAGAGAACGAGGGGAGGTAGAGACCTGACAGGGTGCCAGAGGGG